ACACATACAAATGCATACAGGCAAGTACACACAACCAAACACATACACATATACACACACCACACACACATCACACACACCACATACACACAAACATACCACACATACACACATACCACACACATAAACATACTACACATAAATATACATACATATACACACCACAAACATTACACAGTCATGTATACAGTACACAGATATTTACCATATACACAGAAATACACATACATCACAGACAATTACACACACCCCAGCACACACATCACACAGATCATACACCCATGCACACACATACAAACACACACTGCTCATATACACACACAGATATACACACACTATACACACATCACACACACATACACACACCATACATATCACACACACGCACCACTCAGAAATACGCACACACCACACAGACATACACAGACATACACATACCACATATAGAAATATACACACAAATACACTGAAACACAGTCCACACAGACACATCAAACACACATACACACCATACAAAATAAACACATCACACACCGAAATACACATACATCACAGACAAATGCACACAAACACATATCAAACATACCATACACACATACACACAGATAAGCACAAACACACATATACACAAACACTACACACACATACACATACCACACACACAGAAATGTACACACCATAAACCCAGCAAATGCATACACACACCACATACATATCACACACACACACACCACAGAAATATGCACACCACACACACACACATATACACACCACACATAGAGAAATATACACATATCACACAAATACACAGACACATAGTTTATACACATATACCATGCAAAATACACATACTACACACACAGAAATACACATAGACCTCACACAAATACACACAAATGCACACATCACACATACCATACACATACACACATATAAACACAACCACTACACACACATACACACAACACACACAGAAATATATACACATCACATGCACATACACACACTATACACATATCACAAACACTACACACATATAGTACACACAGAAATATACACACCATACACACATCATACACAAACATATACACACCACACATACAGAAGTATACACACATCACATAAAAATGCACACAGACGCACATATCAACATGTCATACACACACACAAACACTACACACATACACACACCACACAGAGAAACACACATATGATACATACACACACACACACCACACATACAGAAGTATACACACATCACAAAAATAGACACAGACATGCACATGACACATGCCATACAGACATGTACACACAAACACACACACAATACACACCATACACACCTCACATACAGAAGTATACACACATCACACAAAAATACACACAGACTCACATATCAACATGTCATACACACACACAAACACTGCACACACATACACATACCATATACAGAGCAATATATACACAATACACAACTCACACACATATGCACACCACACACAGACATACACACAGACCACACACACATATACATATCACATATACAGAAATTTACATACACCACACAAAAATACACACACGCACAGTACACACACACATAAATACCCATACATCACACACAAATACACACACATACACACAATATATTCATACACACATAGAAATACACAAATCTCACCCACACACCCCACACACATAGAAATACACACACATCACACACAAATATATACAAACAGCCCATACACACACCACACACACATACATATACCACACATGCAGAAACACACATACCACACAGAGAAATACAATACACCACATAAATACACACAAACACACACATCGCACATATCATAAATATATACACACACAAATATATATCATATGCACATACATACATACACACACAGAAACACGCACAAACACACATATACACAACACATTCATACACAACACACACATAGAAATATGCACATCTCACATACACTCATCCCACACAGACAGTAACACACCACACACGCATACCACGCATGCAGAAATATACACACATCACACACAAATATACACAAACAGTTCATACACACACCATACACACATACATACACCACACACAGAGAAACACACACATAAAAAACGCACATCACACATATCATACACACATGCACACACAAATATATATCATATACACATACATACATACACAGAAACACACAGAAACACATACTACTCATACATACATACACCACATACACACAGAGAAATATGCACACTAAATACACACACACAGCACATATATACACAGAAATG